CTGACATACAGCTTCTGGCACCTCAGTCACATCCTGACGTGCTTATATATAAGATGTTTTGAAGCATCGCTTGAAACCAGGATCGCCACATTTATGTGTGACTCACTCAAGTAACTGTCTCCCTCTTGCAAAGCATAGAATACCTGAGGTCTGTGGCCGGCTGCCGGACTGTTCCTGTTGAGGTGGGATCCAGGTACACTGATGAGGATTGGTCACAAACGCTGCTCACGGTCAATGAATTCATTGATAGATATGTTTTGAATAAAGTAAGTGCATCTTGAGCAAGTCTTTAAATCACATTATTTATATCAGTGGTCCCCAACCTTTTTTGCGCCACAGACCGGTTTAATGTCAGACAATATTTTCATGGACCGGCTTGAAGGTGTCGCGGCTAAATGCAACAAAATAAAATGATACAACCAAGACAAAAACTGCAGTATTTTGTAAATATAACACTAAACGCAAATTCACTGTGTAATTGTGTAACTTTATTAGCAGCGTCCTCCTGAAATGCGCCAACAACATTGAGAGTAACACGCTCCCCTCTGCCCCTTAATGCTCTCTGGTCGCTATGGTAACACGTAAATATTTCTTTCAAAATAAGACACACAACTACAACACAGGAAAAAGACCCAGGGAAACAGAGTAAACAATAAGAACCCTGGAAACCATAAATTTCACACCCAAGACGCAACCCTCGCAGCCCGGTACCGGTCTGTGGCCCGGAGGTGGGGGACTGCCGATTTATGTGAATGAGAGAAAGAGAAGACCTTGGGATTTCTAACATGATATCTGGGCTTTTGTTGTTTGTTTTGTGTATCAACATTGAACAGGATGGAGTGAAAGCTTTGGGTTATTTGGCTCAGCACCAGCTTTTTGACCAGGTAGAGTTCAGATTTTTAGTTTTGAAACACCAAAATAAAAGTGAATAATTTTGTCAGTTTAACACTTACTTCTTTAAAAATGACATTTTCAGCACTATAAAGAACGGGATTCTTTTTCTAGCTGTCATACTAACACAAGATTGCTTTTAACATTAGTGGTATTTTTTAGCAGTAATTTCAACATCAGGGCTGGATAATTAAGATCAATTTTTTGGACTCTATGATTAGATTAGAAGGATCACAGCCACAGAGTCACCATTTAGACCGATTTTCACACAGCATCTATATTTTTTTACATTTCTTGGGGATTTTATAGTGCCATGTTTCTAAATGAAACATTTATTTTTGATGTGCAAAAGCTTTGATTTCTTTATATATCACTTGGAAAATACAAAGTCTGTGCAGTGATTTGTTGAAACATCTGCAAACATACATGGGAATACAAGGTAAAAGGCAAAAACCGAGATTATACAATTCTGATGAGCTTGAAAGTGAATATGTGGCACAGTGTGAACGGTCTTAGGCAAGCTTTCTTGTAATTCCTTTAAGTAGTCTTCATGAACAGTTCTCCAGGCTTCTTAAGGACGTTCAAGGCTCTTCTTTGGATGTCGGCTGCCTTTTGTTTAATTCCCTGTTAGGATGATCCTACACTGTTTCAGTAATATTGAGGTCCAGGCTTTGGGGAGGCCAATCTGTGACTGATATTTATCAGGCTGATAAATATCTCTGGGCTGTAATGAGACTGAAAATTCCAATAAATAAACAGACTGTTTGCAGACATTCGGGTGACTCTCTGAGGCTGTACGGGAGCTCATCAGTAATAGTTAAGTAAAAACCAACCTTATGGCAGAATATCTGTGCCAGTTTTCATGGAAATCCATCGAGTATTTATGAATATTTTTCAGTTGGAAAACTATGGTGGATATACTGACAAAAAGAAGTCATGCATTTTTTTTAGTTTGCATGGCAGAAGGTGGAAAAATAATTAGCAATTCTTTTTACTTGCCAGGAAATGTTGGCAAAGTTCTCATGAGAAAAAAAGATACTATTTAGTAAGTAAAATTAGTCTTAAATGCCCTATTACTGTTTGATTATACCTTAGATACCAGAGCTCAAGGATGATATCCGCCTCCCTGATTATTGCTGTCTTGGTGAAGGCGACGAAGAGGATATTACTGTGAATGCGTGGTTTGGTCCCGGGGGTACAGTCTCTCCTCTTCACCAAGATCCTCAACAGAACTTTCTGGCGCAGGTGCTGTTAACTGTAATGCTTTATGAATTAAATTAATGTCAAAGGTTGATCATGTGATAACAGTTTCCTTACCACATGGGATTCCTTCTGTATATACAGGTAGTGGGAAGCAAATACATTCGCCTATATTCCCCCGAGGACACAGGCAAGCTGTACCCTCATCAATCACAGCTGCTTCACAATACCAGTCAGGTAGGATTGACAGTCCATGGAGATAGCACATGTCGGACGTGCAAATGTATGCAGTATTTCCAATTTCTGACTTCTTCCGTCTAGGTGCAGGTGGAAAATCCAGATGCCGAGCGCTTCCCGGAGTTTGCCAGAGCTCCGTATCTCGAATGCGTGTTACAGCCTGGAGACGTTCTTTTCATCCCTGTCCGACACTGGCACTACGTCCGCTCCTTAGAGCTCAGCTTCTCTGTCAGCTTCTGGTGGTCGTGATTGCAGTTTCCAAATAAAAAACCATATAGCATGTGTGTAATGAAACTAGTTCAGCCTGATTTCTCCTGCTGTTGAAGAAGGTCACTGGAGAGCTTTTAACTAATGTGAGGCTAATAAAAGTATTAGGACGACCTCTGATTACAAAAACCTTTGATCCATGAACTATGCACACACATTGCTCAATGATTACTTTAATTGTGCTGCTGATGATTGCAACATCTATTATGTGGAAAGCGACCGGCAGCCACAGAAAACAACAAATGAGCAGTTAAAAGTGTTTCTGCTCATTTCATTCTGCATATAATTTACAGAGGGTTGTTAGTCATCTAATTTGATAGGGTATGTTTCTCTTTTCAAATTGGCTTATTTAATTGTGTTCTCAACCTTATTCCCACAAATATTCTCAGATGTGTGATTTCCATAATTCATGGAAATGAGGCAAGTCTTCAAATTTAATAACCAAGTGAGCTACAGGTACAGAAATGTGGTAATAAACACAGCTCTCTGGTTAAACTGACAGCCTGAGCTAATCAAGCAGGTCACAGATGAAAATTAATAAATTAAATGAATTAATCCCCTGGGCATACACAGACTTTGAAATTAAAACCATCTCATTGGTAAAGTACTTTGACAGCACAACTCTTGTTTGGCACCAGAAACGCAAAACCTGACAACAAAGGGAGCCGCGGATTTCAGACCTCTGACAAGCCACAGTCGTGTATCCTGTAGGTCCTGTTCAGTCAAGCCTGGTTATTACAACTATGATGTGAGGAAGTGACAAAATTAAGCAGATCTGCCCTAATGTGCGTGTTTGATCTGGATTGAGTCAGAAGTAGCGGCGTTTTGGGAAATCAAGGCAGTGTCAGACAGGTGAACTTGAAGAGTTGTGGGGAATGCTTTGATAAAGCGCTGTAGCTCAAGGAAAGGATATATAATAGACACTTTTTCCTTCAGTTTAAGAGGGTAAAAATACAAAGGAATTGTAGTTCAAAACAACAAAGTGGCCTCAACAAGCTAAAATATTTTTCTGAAAACACAAGCTATATACTGTCTGACTCCGAAAGTGGTTTTGCCAAAAAACTTTATGCACAGCTCTCTTGAGGTCCCCCCACAGCATTTCGATCAAGTTGAAGCCTGAACTTTAACTGGGTCATTGCAACACCGTGATTCTTTTCTTTTGTTGTAGATTTCCTCCTGTGCGTAGGATCATTGTCCTGTTACATGACCCAGTTTTGGCCGAGCTTTAGCTGTCAGACAAATGGCTTCACATTTGCCTCTAGAATACTTCAGCCTACAGAGGAATTCGTGGATGAATCGATGACTGCAAAGTGCCCAGGTACTGTGGCTGCAAAACAAGCCCAAATCCTCACCCCTACACCACCACGTTTGACAGTTAGTCTGAGCTGTTTGTGCAGATGTGCTGTCTTTGGGTTTTCAAACCTTTCAAACAAGCCACATTTGTTCAGCCTTCTTCTAATTGTACTGTTGTGAACTTTAAAATTCAACATAACTGAGCCCTTTAGAGTCTGAGATGTAGCTCTGGGATTTTTTTTGCAGATTCCCTGAGCATTGCACAATCTGACCTTGGGGTAGATTTGCTGGGATGTCCACTCCTGGGAATATTGTAGCATTGTTAACACACACCAAACTTAAAATGTCTGTCTCTGGGTCAATTAAATTCTCCCAACCTACACTGCAGTATTGCAATGTTGGTAAAACCAAGCAAAAGTAGTTTTAATATTTAAAAATATGCAAGTTTAGCTATGAGGCCTCTTTCCCTTTTTTGTTTCTGTAGATAAGGTGGCATAATAAATAATGCCCCCTGCATTAAAGATGCCAGTGTTTGGCCTGGTTTCTGCAAATTTCAGGTAATAGACCTATCCAAAGTTGGTTACTTTCCTCACAAGCTTATCTCTCCAAACTTAATAATATGAACCCTGCCAGGATTTAATTCTGTAAGTAAATGCCGTACACTTCACTTAGCCCTTCAGTGCTTTGTTGTTGTCAAGTAAGTGGCACAATTGACTTAAGATCACACAAAACTGCTTACTCTCATTATAATGTAATCAATACTCAATTACCAGTGAAATAATGTGGGACCTCTGGGCCTGTAACCCTTTCCCTTAAACTTAGACCTCGCTTTCGCCTTCTTTTTGATTAATGGCAATTGATTTTCAAATAAATCTGGCAAATCAGGATTAGATCCATTCGATTTACAGTAGGCAATAGACAAGTTTTAGTGAGAAAATGCTGAAACCCCATTAAATCTGAAACACAGATTTGGAAAAAGCTCAAGATTATTTCTGTACAGATATGTAATATAAGTAGCTCAATAATGCCACATTGTTTTAAGAGCCAGAATTTGTGAATTGGAATGAAGAATGAAAGAAAACAACCCAAAAATTAAAGTGCAGGCTCTCAACTTGTTTACAGGTCACATGTAATTTAATTAATACACATGAGCACATTAATGTTTATCTACAGATCAAACCTTTTGTCAGCTGTTACCACTTGCCTTGACTCTAACATTTGCACCGCTGACTTAAATGATGATTTATAATAATCATGTAGACCACAACACAGTCTATACTTGAGCCCCCCCAGTGTTTTAAAATTTATTCAGCAAAATTGGTGAAAACATTACATTAATATGCAAGAATGTAAAAAGAAATGAAGTGATTGTCAAGCATTAATTAGTGTCATCTATTCTTGTCATTATAAACAGCACTAAACATCCTGCAGTAACGCTTTAGATTCATAAATTAACTTCAACAATGGCACCGTTATTACGAACATGAGCTTCCAAAGCAATGCAAAGCAGATGATAAGGTAAGTTATTAAAATTCCATATTAAGACCACGTGCAGTACAACAGAGTAATAGAAAAATAACTTTAAAGATGTCCGATGACCACTTTGTAGAGTGAGAGGAAAAAAGGATTGTGCAAAGTACAGTGTAGACTTGTAAGGCAGCTTGGTTTCAGCTATGGCATCAATTCAAACTCTCGTTAGTGTCGATGCTATGTGAATCTGCATGACCCTCGGTGCTTCATTATAGAAAGAGATTTTTAAAAAGCGCTTCATGAAATGAGATTTTTTTTAAATTACAGGATTTCTGATGGCCTCATTTTATCCTGAAAATGAGTTTCAGAAAGCCATTAATGCTGAGATGAATCCTAAAATTCCTGTATATCTACAGAGAAGTTCTGCATCCTCTCCACCACGAAGAAGCAAAGTGTTCCAGTGAAGCCCAGGATGACCATCAGCAGGAGCTGCCACATCAGCATGATGTAACCGCTGTAGAAGAACGCAGCTGCTGCACAGACAGACTAACAAGGGACAGACAGATTTAATGTTGTTGATTAATATGATAAAGTGCTTTTACAAATCTAATAAACTAAGTTGCACAAATTATTACACAAAAATATTACGTTTTCCAGCTTCACCAATCACCCCCTCAAAGTCATATCCTTGAGTAGCACAGCACAACTTCTGTAATGTCTGCTATTTTCAGATCATTGCCATTCTAAACAATCCAAACAATGACCCTTCAACTTAAGCTTTATTTAGGAGTAGTGGAAAAAGCCACAGTGAGCAAAATGTGGCCAGATAATGGTGAAGTGGCCAAAAGGGTTCCTGTATTTTCAATTTGCTGTCTGCCAGTGCATGATATTACAGGCAAACCACACCATTCAGTTCATTTTCACATGATGCTCTCCCTCATACACCACAGGATATTATACTGTCGTAGAAATCCTCATAAACAGTCTGAACCTAAATCAACCATAAACATGCTCCTGAGCTGACCCAATGCTCCGTCTTAAAGTTTGGATTCTGCATGCGTTCCACTGTCAGTTTGGGTTGGGGTTTATATCCTGATCCCCATAAAAGTCTGAATGTTTCTCAAGTGGAAATGCACATGTGGGAGAGGTGTGGCCTACAGAGAGCATGAAAAACAGCACCAGCACTGGTAGCAGTGCAGCGCTGAAGATGGCGTTGAAGAAGAGATGAGATGTGTTTAAATCACACGTGGTTTTCATTTTTCTGGGCAGAATCAGAGAGCTTTATAAGACACTAAACATACTATTACTTTCAAACTCATGAACCCCACTTTCAGATTTACTGTTAACAATTTCCCAGTAACAGCAAAATCTGAGCTGGACTTCAACTAGGTGGCACAACCATGTCAAGATTTCTCAGTTTGTTTCTGTTCATTGCATTGTGGTGTATTTTCCACGCCTTGACAAAATCAAAAAGATTTTTTTTGAATAGTTATAAAGCATACATTAATTTCTAGAGCTTAATTTTCAATTCAAAAAAAAAAAAAAGGAAGAAGGTATGATATCCAGCATATCTGCCTTTTTTCTTTGTACTGTGACTTCAGGTGAATTTATTTCACTTGGAAGGAACACATTTTGCAGCAGCTTTGGTCCGCTCTGCTAACAACGTCTGAGAACTGGCAACTCAGGATTACCTGGATGAATTTAAAAATGGCGAAAGCCGGCGTGCTTTCTTCAGCATAAACATGGCCTAATATGCTGTAGAGCTGTGTGTTGAAACAGCTGTCCCCGAGTCCAAGCAAAAAGCTGCACAGCAGGGCAATGGATACACTAAGAAAGAAAAAGAAGAAATAAAATCAAAGCATAATCTCAAACAGTATTTTCTTATATGCTAAATTATCATAAAAACTGGATACCTTGGAGTTAGATATGGCTTCTTTAGGGACGTGGTTTCAAAAACAATGGGGGCATCATCAGGGATGTTAAGAAAGATCAAATAGAAAGCAACAAAATGGGCAACCATTCCCAGAAACACCACAGAAGTTCGTCTGAAGCGGCTGTTCTTGCACAACAATCCAAACAAACCCCCACCTGATGGAAAAGGGCATATTCTGCATAAATCAATCAATCTGCACGGCCTTGAATGACTTTAAATAACTTTGCTAAGAGCAGAAAGTGAACGTACCTACTATTTCTCCAATGCCTACAACAATCCCTGAGATCCCAATCAAGCCTTTAGCTGCTTCTGCAAACTGTGCAGTTGCTCCGATACACGTCCCATACACTCCACTGTAAAAAGATAGCTCAAGGCCTGGAGAACAGGAAGTGCATGCTGTAGCTGCAGGCATTTTTACTGGAGGCTAAAATATTTAATATGCAAAAGAATTTGACTTACCGCTGTACGCCATGCAAGGACTCAGAAGAAGGGTAGTTTTAGTCTTCAGCAGTCGTAGGATGGTTTCTAAAAGGGAGAGTTACAACACAATGATTTAAAATGCTAATAAATGCCGTTCTTCCACTAATACAATCTCCTTTAGCTCGGTATTGAGCTGAGAATTTAACACAGTCCAATGCAGAAAGAAAATATTCTGTCATAATAAGCCATATATAAATGCTAATTTAAAAAAAACAGCCAAGAGAGACTTGGCTGTTAGAAAAATTCAGATTTTAAAAGAGGAAATCCCACTAGGCTTGTTTATATATGCCTGGATGGCCCTTCTTGACATGAATCAGCTTGCATCTTTGATAAAAGCTGATACCTTTAAGGCAGGTGTGCACGAGTCTAAATGCACACAGAGATACACGCGAGACAAGGTGCAATCTGATCATCCAAACAACTTGAGGCTGCACTGAAGGCAGGTGCAAGTGCAGCAGCAGAGTTTCCAGTTGACAAACAGATAGAATCTGAAATAAACTAACGCATAGGCAGATTCTATGTACTCTGTTGTAATGCTAGAAGATTTTTATCCATATGAAAGCGATTTTCGCCTTCAAGAAAAACAAAACCGCCTGTGAGTGCCTGCTAGTTTCACAAAAAGAGCAATGAAAAGCAATGCAAATAACAGAGAGGGAAAGGGAAAATAAATACTTCGGTAGGAACTTACATTCCTTTTGAATGCTCAGTATATCAGATGATACCCATCTACAGTGCAAGGGGGGGGGGAACAGTGAATAGCTGTACAGGCAGGAATTTCAACTCTTTGGTTCAATATTGGCTGATTGCCAGGAAATCTGGATGTACCCCTTAGGATTTAAAAAAACAAACAAACAAAAAACTGATATATGTTCCTTCGTACAAACAGGAAGAGAGAACTACAGTGTTGGAATTTAATGACTTTGAAATGTCACTGCAGTTATCCTTACAAATATACACTCAGCGGCTACTTTATTAAGTCACCTGTTTGTGTACTCATTAACGCAAATATCTAATCAGCCCTTGGTGCATAAATATGTAGACATGGTCAAAACTATCCACTGAAGAAGAGTGATTTAAGTGACTTTAAACGTGGCATGGTTATTAGTGCCAGATGGGCTGGTCTTTTAGAAACTGCTGTTCTACTGGGATTTTTCCCACATAACCATCTCTAGTGACAAAGGGAATAGCTTGAAATAGAGAAGAGAGAGAGATAGAGAGAGAGAGAGAGAGAGAGAGAGAGAGAGAGAGAGATAGAGAGAGAGAGAGAGAGATAGAGAGATAGATAGAGAGAGAGAGAGATAGAGATAGAGATAGAGAGATAGAGAGATAGATAGATAGATAGATAGATAGGTAGGTAGGTGTGTGTGTGTGTAGATCTCTTTATTTTCCTGTGAAAGAACATTTATTATCCATGCTGTCTGTCAGGAATATATTCAACAGTGTCACTTTTCACTCTTCCAGCATGAATAAAACAGATTATAAAAACCTTGAATGAGCTCACAGTATCCATTTAGAGCACATTAGTCTTGTTACTACACAAAGTTCCTTATGTATCCATATATACAGCACATATGGGATTTTCTCAATTACACTTTGCACCAGCATGCATTTACTGCATTCAATATGCACATTTATATGGATGTATAATGAATCCAGTAAATGTATGTAAATGAGCAAGTATCATTTTAGCAAAGCTCGTTAGGTACGCCTCAATGTGGCTTTCCAAAAGTGCAGATAAAACTTACTGAACTCCGATTTAGTATCCTGCATGGCAGTGTTCGCTCTGTGCTTGTACCTAGACAACAACAATTAAATCAATAACAACTTCCACAACACTGAAATTAATCAACAGAGATAAACTGCATACACAGACAATCTCAAACGTCCCTTCAACTAAAGAACAGGTGGAGGAATTTAAAAATCAGACAGTGGAAGGATTGCTCCCGATGGCATTCTTTGTTATTCTGTTGGAATCATTGTTTCGTTCCAGACTTGGCTAATAAACACTAAAACCCATACATGCATCACGCATACCCATAACTGTTTTTCACACACAGCTGCTGCCACAAGAGTGCTGGAAAGAGTATGTTTTGCTAACAAGACTTTTAGTCTCATGGTTTGTTTTTTGCGATGGATGTTTGTGAATGATACATTTATGGAATGTAATTTAATTTTCCCTATGACTTTTATTTGCCTTTGATGCAAGTTTTTTTTTTTTTTACAGATTTTTTCCCCCATCTTGTGATTTCAGTCAAACTTTGTTCATAATTCAAGACATTAAAATTTTAATATGCCTTAAAAATGTTGAAGGTTGGGGTCTTTAACTGCTGTCTCTCTCAAAGAGAAATGTTCTGTCTTCTCTTCCCCAAATCCGCCTGATTGCGCCCTACTTAAGTAAAGCGCTGTGATTAGACAAGACTCTGTCAAAATTGCATTGATCTAGAGAAAAGGATCAGTCCATTTTTTGTGAAGGACAAGAGTGATTTATAAGTCTTGTAGAAGAGCAGCAGTAAGTCAAAAAGTGGGTGATTTAAGAAAAAAAAACCTGTTTCGTGGGAGGTCTGAAAACACCTTAAGAAGGTCAACTGGATTAAAAAGGACATTTTTGGCCATGTTAGCCGTTGTGTATCCTATCCGAGCAGTAGTTCAGACACTTTATGTATTCTGAGTCATTCTGTGGGTCTGCAGTGAAAAATGTGTAATTATCTAAAGGATATTCATTTACATCGTGCGAGTTGAGAGCAGTGACTGCCCTTCCTCTTCAGAGAGCATCTCCTCTTCATGATGGCTCTTTCTCAACACCAGGAAGCTAAGTGTGCCGAGGATGGATATAACCAGCAGGGACAGAAAAATGTTTCTCCTGCTGTTGTCTGAGACAGGAAGATTAAAGTAAATTGCTTAATGAAAATGTGCTAGAAATATTAATAACATTAAGCTGGAGCATACTCAAACTAAAGAGCATTTTCATGCTGTTAACTTACACAAGTTTGGCCTTACCTGGTATTTCTGTTCTTCCATTCCAGTCAAAATAAATGTAAAGATTACCAAACAACATGCTGTCAAGACAAAAAAAAATGGTGCAAAGAAAATAAGTAAAAGAACATTTCTCAAACAAAGCAGGGATGTACTGGACTTGCTGATAGGTTAAATTCTTGTTTTCCTTTATTTTGATAAAGTTAATAAACCGCCTCCTCCTTAATTTCATGTTAATAGGTATGTATCAACTTCCACATATATGCCAAGGTTTCTCAGCTAGTTGGTGCATTTTAGCGAGATGCCATTTATTTTAATGTTGTGGCTGATTGGTGCAGCTATGCTGCATGCCAAATTATTTTCATTTCACTGTCGTCCAAATATAATTTATTGCGTACAGCACCCTCCAAAATCTCCACAGCGGCATTCAAAATGTACTAGGTGGACAAGGACTCTACTGTGGATGAGCTGCATTTATAGATGTAAAAATGATGCTGATAGAACATCTGTGTCTGATCATGATGGTGATTTACTGAGAAAATAAACTAAAAGATATCATTTAGACTATACTTCCAAAAGTATTCGCTCATCTTCCTTCACACGCCTATGAACGTGTGAATTCATAAAGTTTAATATGATGTCAGCCTATCCTTTGCAGATATAACAGCTTCAGCTCTTCTGGGAAGGCTTTCTTTTTACAAGGTTTAGAAGTGTGTTTATGGGAATTTTGGACCATTCTTCCAGAAGTGCATTAGTGAGGTCAGATATTGATGTTGGACAAGAAGGCCTGGCTCACAGTATCTGCTCTAGCTCTGTCGGATTGAGGTCAGGACTCTGTGCATGCCAGTCAAGTTCTTCTACACCAAACTTGCTCATCCGTGTCTTGGTGGACCTTGCTTTGTGCACTGGTGGATAAAGCAAGAGGCCATCCCAAAACTATTACCACTAAGTCAGAAACATAAAATTGTCCAAAATGTCTTGGTATGCTGAAGCATTAAGACTTCCTTTCATTGAAAGTAGTGTTCTCCTGACAACCATCAAAACCCAGATTTATCCATCTGATTGGCAAATGGAGATTGCCACCGACTTCCACATTGTTATAATACCACTAACAGTTGACTGTGGAAAATTTAGTATCAGGGAAATATATCCTATCCTATCTCCTATCACAGTATCATGCTGGAATTCACTGAGCTCCTGAGAGTGACCCACTCTTTCACAAATGTTTGTAGAAGCAGTCTCCATGCCTAGGTCCTTGATTTTATATAGCTGTAGCCATAGAAGTAGTTAGAACACCAGAATGAAATTATTTGGATGTGTGAGTAAATGCTTTTGGTAATATAGTGTATATGTATAAATAGGGTAAGGAAAAGCTTCATGGGGACGCATTTGTTTTTGGCGTTTGGTAAGGCAAATACACCATGCGAGCCAATGAGGAACACAGAAACTCCTTCAGAATTTATCACAGTTATCACAGTTTAACCACTATTGACTTTCATTATTAGTTCAGTTAAACATTCTCTTCTCTGCTCTCTGTGCAATTTATTATGTGTACATCAAATTTTATGCACCAAACCTCTCTGGGCCTTTCAAACCTTAAAATAGTGACCTTTAATTAAAGTGCTCCCATTTGGACAATCAGAGTAATTAAAAGAAAAGACCGTGGACATGGTGTTAGCTGAATCATTTGAGAAATCATGTATGATAGACAGAAAATGTGGAGAAAGTTTATTTACTGGCTGGATCAAACACTGACTTTATAGGCATAATAATCTGCATTTTTGCCTCCGAGGATTCTTCTTTCGTTTTTTTGAAGCTGTTTATTTGCCTTTCACGGTTAACACTGGAATTCTGTGATCTATTTCTGTCTTTAATTACATATCTACCTAAACTAAAAAATGTAGATGAGCAATTAGTCTGTCCCAGAGCCACAGCAATGGATGAAAGGAGTTAGTCATGAAAGATAACAGTGATTTTCAGTCGTATTCTGTGTTTGTGTCTGCAGGCTGTGAAGAACTGATTCATAAGTTTACTGTGGCAGTGATCACCACTGGAGAGTCAGATTAGCATTGCCCTATTGGGAGCGTTGGCACAGGTGACAGCCAATGTTATTATTATACTAATTCAATTTGCATATTTTAACAAATACAAATTAGTCGTCCGAGCCAGTGTGCGAGAGCAATGGGCCAAATGGAGAAGATGAAAAGACCATAACTGTCACCTAGCGAACTTTAAGAGGCTTTCATGTTTTTTAGATTTTGCAGAGAAACTTATGACTGGTTTAAAGAAAAGATCATTTATAAAATGATCTACTAAATATTTCTTTTTCTTTGTAGTTTGCACTATATATTTTCGAGCTGAAAATACAGACAGAACAAAATGTTGGCAGCTGCACTGCAGTTACACCTTTGATCAACTGGAGCAGCTTCATCAAACAGCAGAACAAAACGATAACAAGCGAAAACACGGTGATCAGTCGTGTTTTATGAACCGGATGTACTGGTGGAAATAAATATTTTGATGCAAGGTCAATTAATTGTAACTTTGGGTTTGTTCAGAGCGCAGATGAGCAGGAAGACTGTTATATTCTCAAATAAAACATTACTATTTACTTCACACAGCCCAAAGTTAAAAATTCTCATATACAGCGTGATGCAAATGAAAACTAAATCAATGAAATGAAATGAAATACTCTCTGGTTTAAAGAAACTTTAAAATGTTAAAGGTTTGTCTTTAAAAGACACAAAGACTGAGCTCCATACCTGCACTGTAGGAGAGCCCAGAACATTCCAGTGTTTCTGTTGATGGTGGAGGCCTCTGAGTTTTCCACCAGAAACTGTCCTTGAGCTGTCCAGAGCACTGAAGGAACGTGAATGAGGGCGGGTCATTGAAGTAGGAAAAAAGGTCAATTAATTGCCCACATTAATAAATATATAATTTTAATTTTTTTTACATTGTCAAGTAATGCATCATACCATACAGTAGCCCTAGGACTTGATAAAAATTCATTGCTCTGCAGTGATTTGAGGCTGCATTAAAAACATTTTTTCTTCATTTTTCCAGCACATGCTCAGCATGAGGTCTGCTTTCTCTGTATTTCCGCTAACATTTACAAGCAAACCAAAGGTGTTAAGCACTCTTTACAGAATCAGCCCCTAACCCATTTAAGGTCTAATTTGGGATATACTGTTTATGTTCATCATCATATCCCAGCCATGATAATCCCTGTATGCATGATTAAACTGCATTTGGATTTTGGCACAGAAATTGAGCTTGCATGGACTGCAAAAGCCAACAACAGCCACCTTCAAGTATTTATGTTTGCTGAAAGTCTTCATCTGTTACTACACTGTATCCTGCCTCAGTGTTCATACGCACATTTTAGTAAGTGGGCTGTGATGTGATGTATGTGACAAAGAAAACTCTGAAAGGTGAATATTTAAACAAATCAAAAATACAAATATATACTCAAAATTAAACATAAAACATGAAAGCCTGAACTGTTGATACACGGCTTTCATGTGGTTTATGCCAAATTCTGACCCCTAGCAATGTCGCAGCAATGATCAGTCCAGGTAAGACTGGGTTATTTTAAAGATATTTTATGCAGAAAAAATCAACACATTAATCGATGATGAAACTGATCAGTTGCAACCCAGCTGTGAAAATAAAATAGCCAGTAAAAACACCAGAATAACGACCAAAAAAACCCCGTCCAATCAGTAATTGTTGACATACTCAGGTTTCAAATTTATATTAATAATTATTCAGTTAAATAATGATAATAACCGTACTGCAATGTTTCACACCATTCTGTATGTCTTTTAAACAGACACTAACTCTCACTTTGTATATAATCTGCATGCAATTGCAAGCATGTATTCAAAGACATTTAAAAGCCAGGCTTGAAGTTCCAAAGACAGTTTAGGAGAGAGCGACTTACTGGCTGCTCCTATGCCGATGAGAACGGAGGTCAAGTAAAAAGACCATGTCGAGGGGACGATGAACATCGCAATGTAACCACTAGAGAAAAACATAATGATGATGAACATGTCTCAGCATCTTTGTTCGTTTCCTTTATGCAAACAGCACGTCAGTATTTACCTGTACAGCAGGCCGCTCAGAAACATGGTAAATTTTGGTCCAATAACTGTAACAATCATTGGTGCAAGCAGATTGGAGAACGAGAAGACTCCATAGATGATTCCAAGGCTGTAAAGTGGGGGCAGTAAGTAGCAGTAAGTAAATAAATGCAAGTTGGTGAACTGAACACCAGCATTTTCCCCCGTTTCTCCACCATGACCTACCTGTGGTACCCACTTCCAGTGAAAGTAGAATTTCCCAGGCTTTTCACTACAGTTTGCTGCAAATAGGAAAAGAATAAAAGTCTATGTGAACCACAGGGTTAGAATTTACATATTAAGTCACAGTAATGTCCTTAAGTCATTCATAAGATTTGATTAGTTCAGTGAGCACTGAAGAAAATTAGAAACACGAGATGCGCCTCATATAGTCCTTTGGCTGATCTGTTTCATACATCCCGTGAGGCGGTTAATTTTTTTTCTTTAGAAATTACTTTAAAAGCTGTTATGACAAGAAAAAAAAACGTTGTTGTATACGAGCAACATAAATGAACCTCCTGTCTCTTAAATACAAATCTCAACTCAATGCGCTGTCCTCTAACATTCTGGGGCAAAGTAAAAATGAAATGTAATTTAAAAAGCAAAGTTTACGAAGTTACCTCAACATTTCCACAGGTGGTGAAGGCGGTGAAAATAAACAAAAATCCCACACCCAAAATCACAACGTTGAAAGTCCTTCTGTCTGCCATGGCGTCTTCTTAATCGCGTTAAATCAGACACATTTTGAATTCACTGCAGACTCGCGATTCAGTAGCGTCGCTAAGTTTGTACTATAAGCCTAAAGCCTCCCATGTGCACTCACTCGCGTGGATCCATTTCAGCAGCTGCGAAAATAAAGTTCACTTCACAAACTTGTAAAGTTCGCGTTTAGTGAGCGAACAGCGGCCGGAGATGAGCGGTGTGGCGTATATGCAGACAGTTAAAGGAGCAGCACTGTCACGAGAACACGTCTCTCCTATTACCCAAAGTACGCATGACAACTTGTGACTTAAATTAAAAGTTGCTGGGGATTTTTTCTTTTTTCTTTTTTTTTTTTGAGATCTTCCTTTTACTGTGACCTCTTCGTCATGGCTTTCGTCACTCTCCTTTTCGCCTTCAGTTTCTTCTTCTTGTGCAATTTGCGGACATTTACACGCATTTTATCTTTGCTGCCTTCCAGAGGTGACCAGGAGAAACATTCCCCGTGGGAAATAGATGACTTTTTATTGCGCTATTACGCAATAGGAAAAAGTTTATGGAGTACATGTCCCTTCCACGCATAAGGACGTTGGAGTGGAAAATAGAGATTAGTTCGCATTGCATCCTTATTACCCCTAAATATCTCATTTTTGACTGATCAACACAATGTTTTTGCTATTGTATTATAATTATTGTATTAAATCTAAAAGACAAAAAATCCACACATCCACAAAAAAACCAAAACACATGATCAAACAAAGTAATCCAATACTGTGCAAAAGTCTTGCACCATTCATTTCTTCCTATTTTGCTAGGAAAATGGATAAGGGGCGGTTTACGGAAACATTCTGCTGACATACAGGGAAATACACTATATGAGGCAAAAAGAGAGTTCACACAATTCTAAGGAGCTTAAAAATCAATATTTGGTATGACCACCTTTATTCTTCAAAACAATCTGAGCTTTCTTAGGCAACTTTCTTGTTCCTTTAAGACGTCCTTAGGAATAGTTCTCCAGGCTTTCTGGATAACATTCAATGCTCTTCTTTGGATGTTCGGGGATTTTTCTTCCGGTCTCTTTACAGATGATCTCACACTACTTCAATAATGTTGAGGTCCGATCTCTGGGGAGAGCAATCTACGACCGATTGTCTTCAAATGTGTGTTTTTCTATCCAGGTATACTTTTACTGCATTGCTGTTGTATTGGGGATTATTATCATGAGGAAAAATGAAGCCCCTGCTATCATCTACTCTCGAGATGGTATTGCATTGTGAATAAAATCCCAACAGTATTTCTCTGCCTTCATAAATCCATCAGTTTTGACAAGATTCCCAATATAACAGAGCCTGTAGATTTTCTTTATGCTTGCCACTTCTACTGTCCAATCCATTTTTTTAAGGACACACTGCACAGTATGCTGAGATATGCCACGTTTTCAGCTAATAGCTTTTTGGGAATCACTATGTTGGTGTAAAAATACTATCTTATGCCTGTCAAACTGTATTTTCTTTAGCATTTTTCATACATTCAACTAAAGAAATAGGAACAAGTGATATTTTTGCAACAGGCTTTAGTGAAAAGAAGTGCCTAACTATACAATTTGCTAAGTTTTCTCTTATATGTAGACACAACACTGGTTCATCTGTTGAGGTGCTCTGTGTTATTGAATGATGGAATGATTCATGGGTCAGTGTTGAGTGCTTCAGCAAACAAACAAACAATTCCTCTGAAAATCAGATACAAGGTCTGGACTATAAATGTGCGAGAAAGCAGACAACGTCCAAAGAAATACTTTGAAAGACCTCCAGAAGGCCTGGTAGAACTATTGCCACTTTAAAAAAAAATTACAAGCAAGTCTGGCTCCGTGGAAACAAAATATAAAGAAATAGCAAGTGACTTTTGCACAGTACTGCAATCAGGGACCAAAGCAGCACATAAAAGAGAGAAATTACTTTCCACACTGTGTAAGAGACTGTAGAATAACCACAGCCGCAGTTTTAAAAAGGTAGAAAGTTCATTAAGTCTACAGAAACTGTTAAAGTCAGATTATTCATTGTGGACTAATTATCCAGCATCCGTGACACTATTTCAGCATGAAACCAGTAACTCATATCTATGTATATATATTACACTGTAGGTTAATGTCTCAAAAATATTTTCATAAGTAAGATATGCATGTTGGTACGTGTTACCATAATATAAAAACAGTATCTTAAAAAATATTACGATCCTGTCCAACGCCATCAGTTGTAAAATGAGTTCATGAACGCCATCTGCTTGGGGTTTTTTTTTCTTTTAATTTTTACTTTTCCATAACTGAAAATCTTGTGTAAAAGAGTTGGCGAGGTAAAGTCATTTTAAATTTTTTAAGGAAAGACTTAGCCAATAGCCATTGATTAAAGTGCCACCTCCCGGTGTCTCCCTTGCTTTCACAACAACAAAGAAACGAAGCCAAGCGAGAGTATTACGTCTCTTCACTTCCGTGTCCGTTATCTTGGCCGTATGTACATTGGACTGTTCGTGCTTGAAAAAGTGTTTTGTTGCCTTTATGTTTAGCCATAATATATCGACAGTAGCGTTAGCTAACCTGTAACAGTTTTTACAAAAACAAGAAAAAGTTATCTTCAGTTGTTTCAGCGTGCGCATGCGCATTTCCATTATCCCTGTTTGCCCACGAGCTAACTGAAACTATTAACGTTTAAACTTTGTTTGGTTGCGTATAGCTATATTAATAATGCGTTTTCAAAATAAATGATTAAATTGTTTCTGTTTCTACGTTGTCACGCGCGAGTGTGGACAGAAGAACAATTTTAGCTGTTGTTTCCTGAATACTGGACCCATCCTGCTTCCTGTAGTATCTTTGCCACAACCTACAACGGATTGTACACAATCATCATGGCGACGCAGGATGGTGAGTATTGAGAAAATTCAGCAGTATTTCAATAATATCTTTAAATTGAGCTCATATAATGTTAATGAAATTATACGTACCTCTAAATATACTGTAAATATACTGAACTAATAATGGACATTTTCGTCTTTCCGCAGGGTAATTTTTTAACGTTCACTAGTGTTGCGGCTAGCTAATGTTAACGGTTGCTAACTACCATTTACATTTAGCTGGATGTGTGAAGCACTGCGGTTAACGTGATGTCATTTAACATATGTTTTTTGTTTTATCAAGTTAACTTAAGCTGTTAAAGACTTAACTGTATAGGATTAAGTATTGTAGCGATCAAACACTAACATACAGCCTATTTACTTTACTAGTTTTGCAGTAAGGCCATTCTTGTTATGAGATGTGTTGTTTTGCGAGTGCTTATTGTTGTTTAAAAACGTTTTTCTGTTTTCTTTTGGCGGCTATTCGCTTTTATGTATCCCATTTCTCAGCACACATCGAAAGACTGCTTACTAGAAGCGGTGGAAAGACCTAGAAAAACCACGAGGGGGAAAGTGGTTAGCAGATAAGACTAAATTAGACTTCGTTACATCTTTGTTATTAACTCATAATAGCTCCATACATAATTGCTTATTGTGTGAAACTATCGGGAACTGCACGAAAGTGAGATTCTTATTAGCTCTCTCTCTCTCTCTCTCTCTCTCTCTCTCTCTATATATATATATATATATATATATATATATATATATATATATATATAAAATAAAGAGTATTAAGTCAACTTCTAGTTTATTGATTTAAACGCTTCCAAACACGTCGATGTTTTGTATTATATCAAGGTAAACAAAACAAAAGTCTTATTTAAAGTTGCAAAGTAGACATAGATATGATAGGTAGCTAAATATAGTTCACAGGAATGTATTTTGTAAGTGATAAAGGTGAGCTGGGTTTCCCCGTTTTATTTTGTTTCGTTTTAAGCCATTGTGAGTAAGCCGTCTAGGTTCAGCCTCATTTAGTTTTATTGTTAGTTTTTAATGAGCAGAGTTTTGACACTTAGTCACTCAGCTATTTCACAACTATTTTGGTAAATTATTTGTGTTAAATACAACCTGCACAATTGTATGTAGTTTGAGTCTTCCATGGAAAGAAAGCATTGCTACCTTTCGCTTAAGTATACATATATGTGTTCTGCCGCAGCAGATACAGTCTGATTCTGTGGGAAGCACTTTACTCCTGGAATTTTTAGGACCGTAGCCTCTTTGTCAGCCAGTCATTTTTCCTTGATATGCTTACCAACAGTCTTTCAAAACAAGTCCTTCAGTGGAAAGAGCTGTGGAAAAAAACTTAAGTTCAGCTTCACAGCTCTGTTTACGTTTAATCTGAGTCACTTCCAGACTAATTGACATTGTGTTAAAGATGTTATGGCTGCATTTTGCTATAACCAACAGCAAAAAAGTCTGTTGTAAACTTTGCTGCAGTTTGCAAAGAAACTGACACGTCATCCAAAGGCAGTAGGTTGACATGAGGCTTTGAGTTCGGACAAAACTGGATTCAAGTTTTGAAACAGATATTGATATTTCGGTGGACGTTTTGTGAAAAAAATATCATGATTTGAGGCTGTTATCATTCTTCAATTGTTCTTGTGCAGGGATTAGCGGTCGACATACAGTTAGTTGAGATAGTTCTATTTATGTGCTGGTCTGCTCATAGATTGCCGTTATCATTTTGTTATGCAATGACTGGGTTAAACTCATTTACTGCAGATACTAGCATTTCATGTCTTATTAATTTACGGTGACAAGGCTGGGAGGATGATTGTTCCCCCCCACTAACAATGAGAACAATAGCCACAATTTCTGACAACTAAGATATCATCACTATGTTAATCTTTCTGTAAAAATCTGATATTATATATGTATGTCTGCCCTAATACTAATCTAATTCATAGGAGACTGCGACAGTGCAGGTGGTTGTCATTTAAGGCAAGGTGGTCAACCTCCAGCATAAAACACAAGAAACACTTGTAATAAAAAAGTTCCCTGAAAGAAAGACATTTGTAACAAATGTCACGGTAGAGTGAATATAATAGGAATATCAACATTTTGGTCTGTTGTTATTTTTAATGCAAAAAGTTTCTTTGTTGTAAAAGAGAGACAAGTGTAATCATCTGATAGGCTGAGACAACACATTTCTTTCTCTCTTTAGAAAACTTTGTGGTTGTTATTGTGATACATTGTTTTTTGCAGTGCTGTTGCTGGCACTGACGGCCTTCCTGTAATCAGCTTCTGTTATGTGTGTCTTTTAACATCTCTTTGGTGATTATGGTGAATGTGATTAACTATAACTGGGAGTTTCCCTTCGCTAGCATAAAAAGATTTGCCTGACAGCACTCATTTGAGTGACCAATAACCAGAACAATTGGAAAGTCCAAGGAACTCAGGGAAGATCTAAGAAGAATTGTAGATGTACACAAGTTGTAAAGGTCTCTTGGAGCCATTTCTAAACAACTGCAGATTTGAACATCATTAGTTCAAACAATTTTACATTAGTACAAGTTAGTCAGATGTGTCATTACTTTGCTGAGGGCTGGAAGAAGAAACAAACTGGAAATTGGTTAAGATGCTCTAGCACCCAATTATTATTTTGTTATTGCCATTAAAGATGTATATTGTACTATCATTCGATCTTGGAAAAATAAATTTTCAAAGAAATCATTAAAATCCCCAAATTACCACCACATGTGAGTGTATGGAGACCTTTGACCACATCTCTATAGGCAGTATCATAATGCATAGGCACTCTTATATGGAAAATTTGAGATATAATAATTTAAACTTGGAAGGGTTACTTTAAAGGAACATAAGTCTAAGATTTCATTCTTTTCCAGGAAGTGAAGAAGTCATAATGGAAACTGAGGCAAAACCAAAAGAAGCTGAATCACTAGGTGAAGATGTTGAAAAAGGTGGTGCAGAAGCGACGTCTCACACAGATGCAGGAAACTCCACAACTCAGGACTCTAATATTAGCAATGGGGATGATACAGAGGACAAGGAAACAGTGGACTTGAAGATCATTTGGAACAAAAATAAATATGATCTGAAAATTCCTGTTGATAGCACCGGAGCCAAACTAAAAGAGAGCATTCACTCACTCACTGGTGAGAGCCAACAGCATACATTTCTTCTTTTAAATTAATTGTTACAATGAGTGTTGTTTAGCAACGCATAAACAATAAGAACTCAAAGATAGTTCTTTCTTTCCTTTTTATTTTAGGTCTTCCACCGGCAATGCAAAAAGTGATGTATAAAGGATTGCTTCCAGAGGACAAGACGCTACGTGAAATAAAGATTACAAATGGTGCAAAAATAATGGTAGTAGGATCTACAATAAATGATGTATTAGCTGTAAATACACCCAAAGAAGTCATCCAGCAGGAAGTTAAAGCTGAAGAAAACAAGAAGGAGCCTTTATGCAGGCAAAAGGTTTGATTTGTCGCCTTATTGTAGAAAGAGTTTTTTTGTTGTTTTTATTTGTCATTTTAAATCTGCACTATTATCTCAGCAACATAGGAAAGTTTTGGACAAAGGTAAACCTGATGACATCATGCCAGCTATTAAAGGAACAAAGGTAAGAGGAAAATTAACCTGTTATTAGCTGTAGATAAAGGTGCTTTTACAGTGATACAGTGTGTTTGAATATACACAACTAAACACAACTGACAGCTGTCTTGTGCCGCTTAACAGGAACGATTACCAACAGTGCCTTTATCCGGAATGTATAACAAATCCGGAGGAAAAGTTAGACTCACATTCAAGCTGGAGCAAGATCAGTTGTGGATTGGAACAAAAGGTAAGATTATAGCTAACCTACTTTTGCTAGCTGCACTGTACCATAAAGATGCTGATAATTTAAATTTCTCATCTGCAGAGAGGACGGAGAAAGTCCCAATGGGCTCCATTAAAAACATAGTGTCTGAACCCATCGAAGGCCATGAGGACTATCACATGATGGTAACTATCTTTTGTGTGGTAAAAAGCTGGTGTGGCTGTTCACTAAAGTGACTGAACTATGTGTGCCTCAACGATGGAGTCACTGTAATAGAAGGTTTTCAGTTAAAAAAAAGTTTCTTTGGTTGGTATACTATCCATTTTTTTAAGTAGTGATGTAATGACACTTGTTCCTAGCTAGGGTTAGGGTTCTTGTCTTTTTAAAGTGCTGTAGCGTTTTGTCTCTTGTTCTTTTGATTTGCGAATAGATACAAAAACCCCAAAAGGGTCACTTACAGGACCCTCAACACATGTCTCAGCTGTGTTCACACGTGACGGAGAAAAGGAGTGGGAGATTAACAGAGTGTGGTGGCAGCAGTGATGTGGGTGCTGTACTGGTCTGTTGTGGTGAAGAAAGAACTCAGTGTGAAAGCAAAGCTGTCTATTTACCAGTCGGTCTACGTTCCTACCCTCACCTATGACCTGTGAGCCCTGGGTAGTGACTGAAAGAATAAGATTGTTGATACAAGTGGTAGAAATAGGGCGAGGAGCTTGGTCACAGTGTAGAGCCACTTCATATCAAAAGGATACAGTTGGTCATTTGGGTTGAATGCCTCCTGGGCGCCTCAAAGGAGAGGTGCTTTGGACATTTTCCACTGGGAGGAAGCCCCAATGTAGATTCAGGACATTCAGGAGAGATTATGTCTTCTGCAGGCTTGGGAACACCTCATTGTGGCCAGGGGAAGAGCTGGGAGAGGTATTGGCGAGAGGGAGGTCTCTATTTAGACTGGGATAACCATTGGAAGATGGAGGACCCTCAGACAGTTTAATACTCATCCTGTCATCCTACATCTTTCCTGTCCAGTGTCCATAATAGCCTGACAATAGATCTCTGGCTAGCTACAGTTGTTTCTTGATTGTTTGTTTTTTTATATAAAATGTTCGTCAGGACATGGTATATCATCTTTAGCTAACTAACAGTATTGCTAATTGTATTGCTGCAAGTCTCCTTCTTCATCCAGTTATTGCTTTTTATTGTTGCTTTTTATTGTAATACCTAGTCAAACAGCCACATTGATTATTTTATTGGAGATTAACAAATCTGAAGTATTTTTCACTCTCGGGAGTATCTTGCTGTTCTGGAGTCTTTGTACCCAGAAATGGCTAACAACATCAGAACGAGCAGATACTTTGTGTGTGTATAGAAGTGATCAATACACCAAAAAAGACTTTGAGACCAAAGTATGTCTCTGTGTAATTTTGTTTGAATTCCATAGCAGCTTCACATGAGTGCATCCAATCAAATAGTATAATGTCTGAGCACATATGAGTGGGGCTTTGAGGGACTTCCCTGGTATTGAGCTTTATTACCACCTCATCAGATATCACCCTCAGTGTAACAGATCTAAATGCAGATAATGTTACAGCTGTAGAGCAGAGATATTCAAATGTATGATAGTGGAGTCAAAACAGTGCTTTGTGTTGTCATGTTTTTGGCTCAAAAATGAAAAGTGATGCCTGCAGCTTCCTCCGAGTTTGTTTTTGCATCTCTCAACAGTTGAAAACATATTCAAAGCAGATAGACGAGGAGATGGGAATGATTTAAGATAGAAGAAAGATAAAAGCCAAACATTGGATTTGGTTAGCCAGGTTGTTTACTTTAAAATAAAAGAAAGATTCAGTACAGTGGCTGTTTTTAAATTAAGCATACTATATCATATTAAATTGCAAAATAACATTTTAGTGGATTATAATAAATGACGCTTTGTGTTGAAAGGGCTTCTAAGAGGCACTGCGCACACTCAACATGTTAGTACTGGGTTGTACCCCATTTTTCCTTTAGAGCTATCTTAGTGGTGCAGATTCAAAAAAGTACTGGAAACATTCCTTGGAGATTTTGGTCGATGTCATATTCAGTTGACAGCATCACTCCAACATTCATGCCACGTTCACTATCTCTTAAATCACCTTTATTCCCAATTCTGGTGCTCGGTTTGAACTTCTGGTGTTAGTCTTGGCCATGTTTATGTGCTTAAATGCATTGAGTTGCATTAGAATAAGTATGCCTGATAAAGTATCCAGTGAGTATGTATGACAGTAGACATTTAAGGCTTCCTGAAGTCCAGATTTTTGTGTCTTAACATCTGTTCATAATGCAAGTGGTTGAATTTTATTTATTGCAAAATAAGTTATTTTTTCTATAAATTAAATTTGCTTTTAAAATCTATACAAGACACAATGTGTTTATTTATTCTCAATACATGTTTACATTTGCAAATGCCTCTGAAACCACTTAATGTACTTACCGGTTTGTCTTCCACCTTTGCAGGCTTTTCAGCTGGGTCCAACGGAAGCTTCGCAGTATTGGGTCTACTGGGTGCCTGCACAGTTTGTCGATGCAATCAAAGACACAGTCCTTGGAAAATGGCAGTATTTCTAATGTGCCTCTTTTTTGACAATGATGAACTGGGATTGAGAGGAGATGATAACATGAAACTGGAGTCAGCAGTGTCAGCAGTTTAAGGAACCTCTTGGAGTGTATTCCAAGGACACTGACGGATGCCTGTGGACTAATCATATTCTTTTTAGGTTTAAAGTGCACTATGTGGCAGCATAACATTTCTCAGCCCTGTTGATCATTCAAGGTTTTCAGCAAATCCAAGGGAAAACAATTACAAAAAAAATGTACAGAAATTGCTAACACTTTTCTTCAGTTATTCTTAAAGAAATAAAAAAAAAATATTTAATGAATTGAATGTGCCAGATCATTGCTGTCTGTCTTCTCCATTCAGTATTAAATCCACGCAAACTTCGTCTGCATTATTTTATTTTTCCAAGTTTTACACTTAAGAACAGATGCAGTTCTTTCCAATTCTCTTGGCAAAAAACTGCTCGTGCTGTCTAGTGGAATAGAGGCTGTGAACAAGCAGCAATTTTCATGTCCTGCCACAAATTGTGAATTAGATTGAGGTCTGGAATATGCCACTGCAGAACCTTTAAAGTCAATCCTGTGCAGTTTTGGCTTTCTTGTTGTGGGTCATTGTCTTGCAGACAAACAAATCTCCAGAGTAGCAGCTTTTTTGCAGACCGCAGCATGTTTTCCTCCAGGATTTTGCTCTGTTATTAGCCCTGCAGTGATGTGAAGTGCTTGCCTTGTATTAAACAGCCAACAAAAAGTTTTATTATGGACTTGAAATGTTCAGACTTCCTAACCCTTAATTTTCAAGGAAAAGTTACACGATGAGGGGTGGAAGTGAAGCTGAATCTATAAACCACATTATGCAACTTTCTCAAAATGACTTATTAGTCTTGTCATAGCGGAGGTGAGTTGCATAAATTCTAGTAATAAACTCATTTGTCATGATTATTGTCATGTCCAGAGTGGCATTATGTAGTGTTCATTAGTCTTCAACACTTTTTGGCAGATTAATAAACAGCTCTGTATTTTTAGGAGCTGAACAACAGCAGTTGTTGGTATGTTTAATTAGTATTAATTTGTGGTTTTTCATTTTGTTTATTCAAGCAGTGTTTTTCCACAGTAATATTAATCAGCATCACTCACCCCTATAATATGCAACTAAAGCAGTTGTATGAGACCCCCCTCCCATGTGGCTTTAGTGAATATTATGCTGCAGTTAGAGCTATTCCTATGCATCAATGGAGTATGCATCAGATTTAAATAACAAAATGAGCTGCTCCTTGGACTCAGATGTACATTTTTTTTTCTTGGTTTCCCTTCTTTATTATTTTTGATTAAAGTATCACAACCATTATAACGAAGATGCATAAACTGAAGAAATCAAACACAAATTCAGTTTAACAAATTGTTTTAAAGCCATATTTTGCAGCAATCTTGCATAAATTATAAGGGCAGGGATAGCTCAGTAGGTAGAGTGGTGGCCCCATGATCGGAAGGTCAGGGGTTCGGCTACCCTGAGGTACCCCTGAGCAAGGTACCGTCCCTACACACTGCTCCCCGGGCGCCCAGTGGCTGCCCACTGCTTCACTGAGTGAATGGGTTAAATGCAGAGAGGGATTTTCCCCACGGGGACCAATAAAGTACACTTTCTTTCTTTCTTCTTTTCTTTCTTAAATGGCTATCAGTATTTAAAAGAAAAACAAAAATACCAATGGAGACACTTTCTATTTTGTCCATTTTAAAAAACATGTTTTTTTTTTATATAGCTTCAGGATTGTCGGATTGTAAACATACACTACTGTACATTTCATTCATTATCACAGTTTGCCAGGCTGATTTCTATACAAGGTTTTAGCTCTTTATCACAGCAGACTAAAACTTTGTAACATTCACAAATGGACCTGATGCCCAGAGATCCCCCCTGTGATGCTTACAAACAATACGGAAATGACAGTTACACTAATTAAATGTGTTTTATCTGTGAATTTCCCCTCTATCATATGCTGCCTCCTATTCACCTGCCTGTGATTGAAGTTCAGTTTTGATGCTTTTACTCTGAAGAAATCAGGCGAGGACGTGTTTTATTGCCGGAAAAGAGTGCTGCCACGACTTCCGCTCGTGGGGAGGCGGGAAATGAAAACGCTGTCGCAAGTTGTCCGTCGCTTGACGCCAGCAGCAGTCTGTCAGTGATGTCCAAAGTAGAGAAGACAGACGTGGAAAGGACACGTCCCCCGCCTGTTAAAGTGCTGTCGGGACAGCTGAGGGCGGCAGGGAACTGGGGCACCGCTGATAGCGGGGCCGGCTGTGTAATTAGACTGGGCAGGGGACGCTCTTTGCCTGTCTCGCTGGTGTGGATGCAGGGGACTGTGCTGGAAGTCCAGCAGGACAGAGACACCGTGCTGTTCATGGATGAGACGGGGACTTTCATTGTTCAGGGTGTTAACAACATCCCCAAAGGGAAACCGTGCTTGTCCCAAGGTAACTGACCCAGACCCAAGCTAGATTCTGTTTCAATCCACACAGAAGCTAAAATTTAATTACACCCCCCCCCGAGAACAATTATTGGCTATTAGGCATATATACCGGTAAGTGAAAAGAAACTGCTTTTGTTGCTTAGTCATTATTATTGGGACCAATTAGAAAGGGGACGTATATTCTGTTTGGTTAGAGAAAAATATAGCTTTGTCCCCATTTACTGCATTTTTATCTAGTGACAGAATCAAACACAAAATGACATTACATTCTAGGAGTTATTATGAAGTATCTTAATAGAAGAAAAAAATCAACAGGATACTCTTTTTTAATTACAAATAAAAAGTAGAACTACTATTGTTAATGAACTCAGACCTGTATTTTAAAATTCTAATACGGTTTTAACACACTGCAAGTTCAAAAGCTGTAGTTGAACAACAATTTTTAAATGAGATCATTTTCACTCTAGATATTAGTGGCCTGTTATTGAATTCATGAGAATCCTGGTTAATGTGAATATTTTCATCAGTGCACAGCTTGTTAGGCTGAAAGGAGAGCATTAATCCTAAAATCTGTAGCAGCAAGCTGGCAGATTTATCTCTCCAACCACGATTTACCGTTGAAATCACTGTCGGTCAACAGTTCACCACTTGCTGCTGTTCTTACAGGGAAATATGTCATGGTGATGGGCATCATTCAGGCGATCTCACCAGAACCAGCCATCCGTGCAGTGAAGATGGCAGACCTCTCGGAGCTTGCTGCACTTCACAGACGGATGTGGAAGCTTGAGGTGGATGACCTGCAGCAGGTGCTGGCTTGAATGCTGGGCTGAAGTGCTCCTCCTCCTGTAGCTTGCTACATACTACTGAAGTGTCAAATGTTACCTCAGCAGACTTAAAAGATGACTTTCCTTTCTGCTGGACTTGTTTGATGGAGGTCAAGTGATTAAGAAAACTGGTGTGTGGCTCCTAATCCAAAGTTGTCACTGGAGCTGTTAGATGGATAACTTAACCTTGACCAAAAAAAAAAAAAAAAAAAAACTATCTTCATTGTACTAGTACCGTTTTGAGGTTTTGACTCTTTTTCAGAATACCTTTGTTAAGTAAACATGGTCAAATAACTTTTCAATAATGCATCAGGTCTTTATTAAAACACTGCATCAGTATTGACATGAGAGTTCAAAACTCCCCATTGTGTATAAAGCCATCACTGAGGATTGCTCTGAACTTGTGTTTAATGTAAATGATTTTAGTTCAACTCTAACAATGTTACCTGTAACATACAGGCTTGTAATATATGGACCATTATAAGACAATACAACAATCAACAATGTATGAAACTGCTTTCATAATGATTACAGTGAGATGGACACCTTTTCTGTATTTAGTTACTGGAATTGGGCATGTGTATGCTTAAATAAAAGCCATTTCAAAACAGATTAAAAAAGGAGCTTTATTTGGTGTGGTGCCCATTACATTGGTAACACTATTAGATAAATGGAAAGTGAAGATGACCTATGCTTACTGATTAAAATAAAAGAATGTCAACTCAACTCTTTATTTAAGTAATTGATACTTAAAACAGTAAAAGGTCATTAACATATACAAACTGTTTGTGGGGGAAAAAAAATTTGTTTAGGTCAACTGTAAGAATCTGAACATGACTCTGATCAAGGTTTACTCGTGCTTCCTCCCTCCCCACCATTTTCAGGTATGACAGAATGGTGCACTGCAAAGCTTCTGGAAAGTGTTTTAACACTCAGTATTTGCTTTTAATGATAACACTCCTGTAATTCTGATCAGAGCAAACAGCCATCATTCAGGGGGCCTGTCCTGTATGCCCTCCTTTAAAATCATGCTGTGATCAGGCTATTTCCTGTGCACGTCAGAGGCCCTCAAAGATGACCTGATTCGAGACTGAATACTGCATCATTTGCAAGTGTGCATGAATATTGTGATCACGTCATTATTTAATGTCTTTAAGCAGAAAACTGTATTTTCCAAAGTCATTGTCATTTGGTGCTATAAGATGGTCTTTTGTGGCTTTGGCAAGTTTCATCAAAAGGAATTCCCTGCGCTCCCTCCATTCTTTTAGTTCCTGCTCCCCGTGAGCCAGCTTACACAAGTCATCCTCTGTGCACGTGCCTTTGAGGAACCTGCCAAAGAGTGACAGCAAATGTCAACCATCGAAAACAATCAGACTCGTAACAAGACACATAGTATGCGTTGTTTCTGATAAACCTACCTCTCACAAACTTTGAAAGTGCCTGTGGGAAATCGATACTGCCAGCAATTCTGATCATCCTCAGAGTTGAAAACTCGTTCTTTGTGTTTTTCTGAAGTGATATGCTGCTGCCACTGCTTCTCACTGTTGCAGTTTTTACCACAGAGCCAACAATGATTGCCAGCCTGCAGAAACAATTCCATTTAATTAATTAACAAATAAATACATTTTAGAAATTTCACAAAAATATGCAGAGTAGACACACTAGATCCAACTATTTTCTGCTTCATCAATAAATAGCACTAGGAACAGAATAACATTGTTGTTAATGAAAACACTTTCATGAAAGACAGGATAAATGATGGATTTAGCAATCATGGTATCACCCACTATTTGGCGAAGCCCTGTTACATAAAACTTTCACACTGGCCATCTTGTTCAATTAAAGCTGGATGCGACGAGTGCCGTCCGAATAGGATTGTAAAACCATATGCTAATTGGCTAACACCTATTCAAGCAGAAACCCTGGATAATTGCCACAATGCTTAGAATAACCAACATTTCCAAAAAGAACTTAATGTTCTATACAATAAAACTTAACAAGTGACAGAGCTTGTTGAATTCGACAAGAACGCCTTTTACAGAGGTCAGCTTGAAGGATAGTTTTCCATAGACTTATACAGGATTTGACCTTTGACCTCATGGCCAATAAATAAAAAGGCACATTTAACGAAATTCAGCACTGGCTTTGCTTCCAGTTAAAAAAAAAAAAAAATTAAATAAAACATTCATAATTCAGGATGCATAATTACAGATGTTGCCACTGAACAAAGCCTCAATTACATTCTACTGAATAGGACACAAATAGACTTTCCGCTTATAATTCTGAAGTATGCTGCCTGGGGCGCATGTGTAGCTAGTGCATTATAATGCAAATTCTTTATATACGAATCCACACAGCCACAAAAAAAATACAGACATCCACATCCTCATAACTCAGTCTAGTCTGATGACTAATTTATATCACACAGACTTTAGCGATCACACGGACACAGGAAATATAATCCAGGCAAAAGAGTGTACTTAAAGTAAGCACAGGCTTGTACTCCAGTCCCCACATAGCTATTCCTCTCAATTCTACCCCAAACTCACATTCTGTTTAAGGATCTATGCCCAAGTATAATTCTTACTATTTCAGCTCCCATTTCGATCGCCCATTCACTCTCTCTTTCAGACACCCCTTCCAAGTATGTATGAACACAATGAGATTCATAACTTTATGCACTCTTTGGCTTAACTTAATGGGGCGATCGTGGCTCAAGAGTTGGGAGTTCGCCTTGTAATCGGAAGGTTGCCGGTTCGAGCCCCGGCTCCAACAGTCTCGGTCGTTGTGTCCTTGGGCAAGACACTTCACCCGCTGCCTACTGGTGGTGGTCAGAGGGCCCGGTGGCGCCAGTGTCCGGCAGCCTCGCCTCTGTCAGTGCGCCCCAGGGTGGCTGTGGCTACAGTGTAGCTTGCCATCACCAGTGTGTGAATGTGTGGATGACTGGATATGTAAAGCGCTTTGGGGTCCTTAGGGACTAGTAAAGCGCTATATAAATACAGGCCATTTTACCATTTAATTTGGGCAATTTTTGGTCCACGCTTGGGCTTGGTTAACCTTCATACTACCTATCACACCACACCTGGGCCCAAAACGAAAAGCGAGCCAGGACATAATGCACAGCGTTAAAATGTATTCTGGCATGTATGCATCACTCAGTCCAAGTACACTTTAGTGTACTAGTCGATTAAAAACTGCTAACTTATCTAAAAGGCAGAACTCACCAGGAAACAGGAATAATTAGGGACAATCTAAAAAACAAGGTGAAATAGCATCCACACAAATACCATGTTGTTATACATTAATGAAATAGGAATGATTAAGTTTAAGTTAATAGTTACCAGGTAGTGTAGTTTACTTGCAAATTAGGGAAAGAACCACAATTTAATAGTCTAGCTGCAAACATCCCTGAGCACAATATTAACTAGATGCCACTGAGCTACATTTCATATCCACTAACTTATTAACTCACCACTTCCTCTGCGTAGTCAGTTGGCATGTGGATCTGTTTCCCATTTTCTCTGACTGAGTTAGTGGAAGTTTCATCACCCCAGCCAGGCCTTTGAGACTGCAGCCATTGCTCATAAAGTTGATCCATATCTCCAACTAAATGAGGGGATATAATGTGTTTGCCACATCACATTCACCAATTAAATTTTACACATTAAGAGAGCCAATCGCTTCAACAAAACTCACTGTTGTTTTCCTTCATGTAGGTCCAAAGGTCTCTTTCTTCCACACTGTGAGCAAATGTGCAGTTCCCAATGTACTGACACTTCTTGCCAGCTGTCACATGCATGCAAATCTAAACAGAGACCAGAAAACATTTGGTCTCCATTATTCGAAATCTGAATATATTATATGTCTGGCAAATATAAGATGGGAAGACTGTGCTGGAAACATACCTCAAATTGAGATGGAATGGGTTTTTTGGTTGGAAGCGGTCTTACAGTTGTCCACTTTTTCCTTTCATGGGAACTTACAAGCACCACCCGCCTGTCTTTTGCCCACCTGAGACAGAAAGACAGCGTGACTCAATAATGACATAATGGATTGTAGTCCCCCACATACACAAAGACATCCAAATACTTACGTGTGTCTTGCCTTGGCTGTGCAATACTTCTTGTTTTTGTCAGCTTCACTTAGTTGGCCGTTTCTCCAGCACTGGCCACAAACAAACATCATCTTCAGATTCGGAGGTCCAAATCTTCTCAGTGCACTGGGAAGCTGCTGATTATATTTTGAAGGACTTGTTAAAATCTGTGACTAAATATAAATTTTCCCTTCGCGACAATGAAACAACTAAAAGAATTAAAGGAATGTATATACTGCAAGGCTAATGACAATGGCAACAGCTTAGCGTGGGGAAAATAATTACAAATTCAGCAGCAGATCAAGTAAGTTGGCTCACTTACAAGGAAATGAACAATGTGTCATGTTTGTAGTACTGTCATTTTAATGGAAAGAATATCAACCACAAATCCATAAAAACCACATTACATATAAGTTATAAACTGATTTGGATATCATTGAGTAAAATAACACTGAATCCCCAAACAAAGCATCTTACAGCTTGGTGGAGAAACCCCTGTTGCAGCCTCTTGTAGTTGGTCACCAGGTTTGCACACATCTCAGGAGGGATTTTGGCCTACTCCTCTCTATAGAAGCTGTCTGAATCCTTTAGGCTTCTTGGCTGCCAGTTGGCAACTCAAAGCTTGAGCTCCCACCGATTTACTATAGGATTTAGCACTAGAGACTGGCTAGGCCACTCCATGACCTTAATATGATTCTTTAGCCACTTCTTTGTCTGTTGGCAATGTGTTTTGGATTACTGTAATGCAGGAAGACCCATCCACTACCCATCTTCAGTGTTCTGGTTGAGAGAAAGAGGTTCTCGTCTCGCCTTCTCTTAGACACTTAGAGGTTCACTGGCAAACTTAAGATAGGCCTGTACATGTTGATGGTCTTTCCAGCCTTGTGCAGGTCTACAGTCTTGTCAGTGACATCCTCTGACAGCCCTTTGGTCTTGGTGGTGGAAAGGTTGTAATGGAAGACATTTCATAGCCCTTTTCCACTAGTACTTACTTGACTCAAGATGTTTTCCATTTCAACGGCGCACCACTTAAATGTGCATGGGGTCATTATAGCAACGTAGCGAAAAGTCCTATGACGTCATTTGTATGCAACACAAACACCACAACGATGGAGATGGCATACCTGCTGCTTGGT